AAATATAGATCCGAAAATTGAAAAACTCAAACAAGACAAAACAAGAACATACAAACACAAAACGGACACATCAATCATTCATCATCTTCACATCTCAATTCACAATTACACTCATTCATCTCCAATCTTGCAATTAACATTATCATTTTCACATTCATAATTCACACAAATCTTACAATTAACATCATGCCAAGGCCACGCCACAACTGACATAAGTGATACGGGTTAATTGCCTCCCTCATCCCACACCATGCCAGGGTCACACCCTCCCTGTAGCATCACTTACCCAGGGTTCGTGCCATCCCTGGTCTTGATGTGAGGAACCACAATCACATCACAATCCACACAAATCTTGCAATTAACCCTATGCCAAGGCTGCCATATTTGACATAAGTGATACGTTTTAATTGTCTTACTCATCCCACACCATGCCAGGGTCACGCCCTCCCTGTAGCATCACTTACCCAGGAGCCATGCCATCCTTGGTCATTGATGTGAGGAACCACAATCATAATCATATTCACATTCATCACATCTCATCTTATAGCTCAATAACATATACACAACGGATAAGTCCAACAAAATAAGGGTTTACACACCCCTCAAGCAATTCACATCTAGATCATTAATTCTTATCAAGTAATATAACAATAACATTCATAAATTAATATAATAATTAATGGAATTACCAATATAATCTTAACATAAACGGTAAAACCCCCAATTATTCCAAAACCTAATTCATAGGCACTTTTTTACAATTTCGTTTTCTCTCCCAGATCATCATTCTTACAAATTATTAGCATATTTCTAATCCTCAATACATGTAAAATATAATGGGATCAACAATTCCTCAAACAGAAATAATTATAAAATTACTCATAATCTTAAGGGACTCTTCCTCTACCCAATTCCCTCATGTAAATCTACATACAAATAATTCCCTGTCCCCCGTACCTGGATAAACAGTAGCTGAAACGAAAACAGAGATCTCCTTGGTCTCCTCCTCTGAGTGCCCCTCGATCTTTAGAGAGTGTAGAAGGAAAAGAAGAGAATGTAGAAGAAAGAAGTCAAAACTGAAAAGTCTGATTTTGGGAGTGTCAGAGCGCTTTATTTATAGGCATCAGGCATCGCCGGAACGACCCGTTTCAAATCCGGAACGACCCGTTCTGGACTCTGACAACATGTGTAAAATTCACATCCAGAACGACCTGTTCTCAAACCAGAACGGCCCGTTCTAGGGTTGCACTTAACCCACAACGGCCATATCTGGAATGGCCCGTTCTCAATTAGGGTTATAGGCATTTTTGGGATTTGGAATGCCCCGTTCCAATTTGGGAACGCCTTGTTCCCATCTAAAATTTGTAGACAATTTTTGTATTTTGGAATGGCCCGTTCCATTTTGGGAACGACCCGTTCTAGGCTACAAAATCACTCTCGTTTTAGTAGTTTGGAACGGCCCGTTCTAGGCTACTAATCACCGCTATTGGGCCTTTGGGCCCTCAAACAAGGCGAAACCAATACATTCCTTCCATAATATGCTGTTTATACCCTGTCTATATTTAATAGTACCATAAGTCATAATATCATGTCATTTGCCTTGTCCAAGAAGGGAAATTAAAATACACAGACACAGTCCTAAGTTCCTAACTAGGGTTTATAGGCCTTTTTAGTAGTTTGGAACAATCCGTTCCAAGCTATAAATCACCCTTATTGGGCTTTGAGTCTTCATATAATTTATGAAAATTGGGGTATTACACCCGATGCATCAAAATCATCAAAACCCCAATTTTTCCAAAAACCCTCGAAAATGTGGAATCTTTCATTTCAACCCTTGATTTTCAAAATTTATGCACCAATTGAGTTCCTAAACTCACATGCAACCAAACAACCTACATTCTAGCTTTCCTCACTTGAAAATAAGCTCAAAACAGCCAAGAATTTGAGAAGAAGAAGAAATTCCTCCAAAGCTCGACCCGCGGACTTCAATTCTCCAAAAACAAGCTTCCTAGCCTGAATTCTAAGAAAAGACAGAAGGGATTAATGATCTAGAGAAGAAGAATCAAACAAAGAAATTTGGGAGAGAAAGGAGCTCAATGGCTCATAGTCCTTCTCTCTAAAACTTCTCTCTAAATTTCTTT